GTTCTTCGGAGGTCGTCGCTCCTGACGGCCCCGGGGTCCCGGGCCCATCGGGCAGTCAGCTGGACGGCCTCCCCACGAACGGACGCGGCCAGTCGCCCGTCGCGAACGGACGGGCCGGGAAGGGGATCCAAGGGGCTGGAAGTGTCGAATTCCCAGGGGGTGTGAAGCTGGAAGTTAAATACAGCATACTGTGCTTCTGTTTGTCTAAAAGGATCCTGGAGCTGAAGATGAAGACGACTGATTGAAAGGCTGAAGAAGCAGAGTGGTGAATTCGGCTGATTCGTGCCGCTTTCTCCACGATTTGCATGTTTGAGACAGCAAGGTTGCAACCAGTTCTAATTACACAAGGTTGCGAGGAGCAGAGGAGCGGCTGAGTGGCTGTCGTGTACAACACGACCGCGTTCAGTGCTCATAAATTCATCGACCTCAGGGATTCTGGCCTGTTCCCTCATGGAAATGTGTTCTGTTCCCTCATGTTCTCAACAGATGCGACGGTTTGAAGCTCGTGTCAGTCCATGGTCTGCCCACCGGGTACTGACCGCACGACCGCACCGATCACTGCACCGATCACGAGACAATGGCCACAGGCGCTGTAAACAGGTCACGGTCACGGTCATGTTCAATCACCCGGGGTTTGAAGATGGGAAAAAGAATATGGTTGTTGCATCCGCAAAAAACCCATTGGAGTTCTGATGTGTAACTGTTTGACCTATCCCTGCAGCCCATCGAGCAGCGGTTTCCTTGCCGTGTCCGAAAGCTGCCCACTTTAAAGATGCCTGGCGCCCCTCTGACTCCACTTCTACTTCTATAACAGTGATCCTTTCGGACGTTCCATCTGAAGGTCAACGTAACAACTAGATTACATCCGACACGCAGGTTCCCAATTCCAAACCCCAATTCGACACCCATGTCACGGAATTTTTTGCTTGCGTTGACTCCCCTGCCACCACCCCTGGCCTTTTCTCGGCCTCGGCAAGAGGTATGCAAATTATGAGAGTCCCAAACCGGTCAGCTGTATGGGTCAGCTGTAAAGGAAACAAATCATTGTATACCAGTTGCTTCCGTTCGGGGTCACCAATGGATATCTCCACACTACTTACAGGTCTCCAGACAGGGCACCCCGACAGGAAGCGCTAGGTAGGTCAGCTGTGGTGAGGTCTATACTGTCTTCCCCCTCGCCCCACACCCGGGGGCGACACCGGACATCGGCCTTCTCTCGAAGCCACCGGCTGTTGATGTGCAGGAACCGGCGGTTCCTCGGTCGAACTCACACAGACCACACCAAAGCACCACATGGAAAGCCCAGGACTGAACCACGGCAGGTGGGTGGGGTTTTGAGAGTCCAGGCCCCTGCGAACCGGCGGCTTCCTCCAGTTTCGTCTCTGGTTTGATCAAGAGTTATCATGTTGAGGATGGGCTTCGACAAAGGTGGTGACGATCCAAAGTGAACAGGTACGGCATACACGAGTACAAACATCAATGTTCTGATTGGGAGACGCTTTAAACATCATTAAACAAATTCTGTTTGTTCTCTTCACCCGTTGATTTGCGGGGAAACCTGCAAGCCAACGTACAAGCACAGATTAGTTTGTATGAATTCTCACCTGGAAGTTCACCAATATTAAACAAATCCCTACAGGTCAGTTGGAATGCTCCTGGAGGTTGGAATGCTCCAAGTTCCGACTCATTACGGAGCCATACTGGAACATATTGGGACCATGGACCCATCCGTGGGGTGTACTTGTCATCTCCATTATTCGGTGGCCCACACCCACTGGGATCCACCTTCTCAGGTGGCTTGGAAACAGCTGTTCTTGCTACCTGTGGGTCCGGACGGTTCCCCTCACCCTGGCGCTCTGACAGGATTGGCAGCGCACGGAGCCACGGGAGGTCGACCCAGCCACGGGCGCCCTGACAGGACCACGGGGAGTTCGCCCCCCGTCGATGAAATGATCGACCTCAGGGCGAAGGAAACGCCTCAGGGCTCTGAGTCTACTTGGCATGTTCCACGGTCGCCGGTGGGTCAACTGGACGACATCGGGGGCGAGTCGAGTCTATTGCATATGTTTCGGTGAATGTAGGGAATGTCTTGGAGAGATGTTCTGTTTTCTGCAATACATCTTGGATGGTTGCTAGGACATTGAACCGCTTGTCTTTGGTTCTGACTCCAGGCTACGTGTTACAATATGCTCCTTGCGATAAGTTTTTTCGAGGCTTCAAGTTGCAGGAATTCAGTGGCTTGGTTTAGTCGGGGAGCGACCGACCGATGATACCCCATGGTTCTTGAAGCGACAAATAGGATTCTTCCAATTCTGTATTGTAAGGCTGGAAGGAAATTCGGAAAGGAAACCAAAAAACACGACAAAACACTGCACCCAACTTTGCTGTCCAAAATCCTGACAAACTATTATTGCATGTCAGCCGATTTTGATCGATTTTGCTTTATAGATGTTTCAACTCTATGTCTCCCCTCAATCGTTCCAACCCAACCAACCACACCAACCGACCAACCAAACCGAGGATCGATTCATCCCAATCTCTCCTTCACTCCGACGCCAATGCCTGCAAGTGCTGCATGCCAATATCAAAGTTCCCCTCGTTGGCATGCTGTCCCATCTGCCAGGCGCTGCGTGCCGCGTAACGGGGAAGTGACGCTGCATTCTACGTCGAACGTAACAGGGAAGTGACCCTGGCACAATGCTTCGGTATTTCGTTTGGACCGACCTGCGTGGTCTTGTAAAGGCTGAATGAAGGGACAGTAGGGAAAATGGGGGTGACTTATTATAATTACCCAGCCCATCCATGGATGGAGTCCATTTCCCTCATGAACATGACCCGTCCATCAGTCGGTCATTGCAGTTGCATGGATGGTCATACCGTATGACCAGTTCCAGGACCACGAACTCCTGGGTCACTCGGTGTGGTCTCAGCAAGGCTGACGAAAAAAAACACCCTTTAAGTAACCAACAATATATATATTTTAAGAGGTGGGTACACCCACCAAATATAGAACGAACATGCGAGCTATGCTGGTACTTGCAGCTGTGGCACTTTTCCGAGGTACTTATATTGATCATTCAGCTTCCTTCCAGTCCAGAATCATGCCCCAGTCCTAATCGTTGTGCGTGTGAGCATCCTTATAAGGTTGAACAGTGCTGCCAAAGTTTAAGGTGGGTGGTCAAGTGTTTAACATTATGTATCAAACATTTGCACAACCATGTCATGTGTGCTTTGGGTGAGATCTCTGAACACATAATTATATGTACTGGACCACTTGAATATCCTGCTTCTGTGTATGGCAAACATGACTTCACTAAACATCATACTGTTATTGATATTTGGATGGCAACTGAAAAAATATAACACAGGCTATAACCATTAACTAAACCTATGTTAAAACAAGAACTAAAACAAAAAAAGTAAAGAAAACTAACACTGCTTCTACTCCCCCAAAAGAACGATGCAATCCCACCTGATCCTCCTTCCACCGGACCACCCACCGGTCCTCCGTACGAATGCCCTTCAAGCGCAAAGCCAAGACCTGCGACCGGATCACGTCCGGGACCCCCCCCGAGTAAGCCCCAAGGGTTGATTCAGTTGATGTTTAACCGAGGCACTTGCTCATTTGTATGTGTTTTCATTATATATCCATAGTACAAAAAGGAAAGAAACACCCTGAAATCATCGCATGGCCTCAAAGGGACGATCGCTTTCACCTACAAACAGGTGGTGAACTTCACTCCATTTCACCTACATGAGTTCAGAGTGTATGTTTTAAATTCGGATGTTCAGCACATCATACATGGCACTGGGCGCTGGGCTTGCTGCTCCAGTTTCACAACCAACAAATGGCTGTTGTTTCGCATTTTTTTCGCTACAGCATCTACGTAAGTTTGAAGCCCAAACAAATCCTACAGGGCTCAGACTGGCCAGGAAATTCGAAGGTCCATGCAGTTTCACAAACCTCTCAGTCACAAACAGGATGAGAGTTCCGCTCTCTGTAAAGCAATTGGATGAGACAATGACGACTCCCTTGGTACTGTCAGCTTCATGGTTCACACCACTCCAGAAGTTTAACATTGATATATTAATCAATACTAAATACTTTTAGAAGGACACATTTCAATGTTGTTCGACCTGTTCCACCTTTCATAGACATGACCCAATATTGGAACACCCCAGATGAACTGCCCCCAGAGACCCAGGCGATGAAAAGTCAAAACTAAACCCAACAACCTGCTAGGGCCTATAGTGCTTCCCGGATTGTGTGTGTATGTTACACATGGTCACATGGTACTGAGGGTGTTCATTCTATTTTTAGGTCAACATTTATCAGGTACGTCGTCCCCTCACATGGCGAAACTGTGCAAAACATGTTCCCAATCCAGAGCTATTTTAAATCCAAAGATATTTGAACACAATGTGCACTTTTGGATTTGAATGTCTCTCTCTTCAGTTCAATCCAAAGCATAGTGACCCCCCAAAGGGTCACACGGCTGTCGCCTTTCGGGTCTCCCCCAGTCCGTCCGTCATTCTGCGCTGCGTCCGGACCGGGCCCCGTCCTCCTTATGACGATGGATCCAACTCACCGAAAGGATGGGCACGTTGACCGTCACGTTCCAGCCTGTCCACGAGTATGGCGTGGGTGGGTGAAGGAAAACGGTGGCACAAAGAAAGGAAGGTTAGGATATAAAAAACTCAGAAGTTCCATAAAGAAACTCAGATGTTCCAATATGCGTTCCTTAGCATAAATAAGAAACGCACATGTGTAGGCAAACACAGCCTTCCAGCTGGTATTGTTTTCATCAATCAATTATGCAGATTACTTTCCGGGTTACCAAAGTATCAAAGGACAGTTTTTATTGTTCGTTCAGGTTTGTTTGCTTGTTAACAAAAAAGGAGCTGAGCAGGCTGGAGAACTCTTAGATGAAGAATCTGGCACCTCAAACAAAAGCAACATACCAAATGACTTCCAACCGACCTGGAGAAAAAGAAAAGGCCTAGAGACGCAAGGGCAATGCAATCAAGCGACTCAATTTGACCATCGTAACACTTCCTTCAGTCAAATCATCGATTCCTCGGGCCCCCGAGCTGGATTTCTCCTTCTGCGCCTGCCAAACACCCGAGCTGGGCTTGTTCCGTCGACATCGACCGTGAACTCGAGACCTGCGGAGGTTTTTGATAGAGATGATCTATAGGAAATGCATGGGAAGGAGGAGGGGGCTGCGGATAGCTGCTCGCGACTGGGAGAGAAACGCCTCGCACATGAGCGGAGTTCACCGGATTGCCCGGCCTGGGACTCATCGAGGACTCCAGACCTGAGAGGAGTTTTCAGGGATTTCTGTGTGGCGAAGTCTTCGGCTTTTAAGGCGGATAATGGATGAAGGGAACAAGTCGGATGTGATGTGAGGTCGACATGGATGTCCTGGACAAATTCAGAAAACAAAGAAACACAGATCCTAAAAATATATATGAAAGAAGTGTGGGAAACAAACTTCTTAAGGGCAATGTCAATGGATTGACATTTTCCAACATGCTCTTCCTACAAAAATCCTTTCTGAGAGGGGATCATGAGGTCACTTTTAAGCAAATCCGGATTCTGTAGAGGGAATAATAACCTTTAAATTGTTATATTATATATAATACAGGGCTCCAAGTGCCTCTTCAGAAGGTATTTGGACCCTCCAAACCCGTCCAAACCCACCCCAAACACCTTCTTAGACGGTACTTGGAGCCCTAGGGATAGTCATAGTCGTTTATTTCACCCAGCTCGAGTTCGGGCACTTCAGTTTGATTCAGTTTGATTGTAGTTGTTGATGCAGTTTTTGGCCCTCGCCCTGAAACTGGACATCAAGTGGGACTGTGGGACTGTCGAAACCAAAGGCCTTGTCAAACCCCAAAGGTTTTTTTCTGAGTGACCGAGCTACACACCCAAATGCCTTCCAGTTGCAATGACCACAATACAGCAGGTTGTTCCAGGCTATCTGAACACAGAAGACTTCTGGTTGAGATTGCTCAGTTGGCAGCACTGGCAATGGCCGCAAATGGGGTCTGAGTGATGTCACCATTGTCGCGGCACCATTGACCAACGCCCCAATGGCTCCATAGCTCGATGGGTGCCGTAGAACCTTAACGGGACGGGCATCCCCTTCATCAGCATCCTGCGAATCCCATGACACAGCAAGGCCCCTGCCATCCTGCAGCTGGCTTGATGGTGAAGTGGTGCACCCCTAGCAGTCCAGGCACACCAAGCATTGCCAATCATCCGTTTGGGGCCGAAGCGGCACCGAAGCGGTGGCGGTGCATCTGTCCGTGGCTCCCCCAAAGGGTTGAGTCCGGACGCTGGGTGCAGGCGATGATGCGAAGCAAACCATGATCAAAGTGTTGCTTTGACCTTTGGAAGTTGTCCATTTGGGTATTCCCAAATCCATTGAACCATCGATGAGGGAAGCAGGGACATGAAGAGGGTGATGTGGTGAAGCTTTGGGAAAAGGGGAACTCTTTGCGCGTTTTGGTTTTGGACTCACTAGTTCACTCACTGTATCCCTAGGGCTCCAAGTACCTCCCCAGAAGGTATTTGGACCATCTAAACCCACCCCAAACACCTTCTTAGAAGGTCCTTGGAGCCCTAGGGTATATGGTTTTTCCAGTAGACGTGGAGAATCTTTGTTGGCGCCCGAAACCTTGCTGACGTCTTTGTATAAAAGAGAACAGGACCCAATTGGTTGCGTGTGTGCGGGAGTTGACCTGTTCATAAGCAGTTATAGGCGACCAACTTCAAAGGGGAGAATCCTTATGGATCCGACGACACGACCTGTCCCATCGACCAGAAGAGATATATCGCTTCAGTGCTTCACCCCTTTTCAACCACCCCAATGGATCGGTCAATATATGCACTATGGTACACATATATGCACACATAGAGTGTCTGGGAGAAGGGAAGATCCCACGCGGCCACGCAACAACCACGTATACGCGGTCCGTCTTCCTCCGTCCGCCCGATGATCCCGTGGCCTCCAGTGGAGGTGGAGAAGCGGAGCTCCAAGCGCGTTTGCAGCTCCACCACCTGCGACCGCAGCAAACGAGGATTAGACCATCCAAACAGCGTTGGATAGATGGAGATGGATAGAGGGAGATGTCCACATGATCCATATATATATATAATATTTATATATTACTATATATTTGTTTAATTCACCCAGATTGGTGTGTTGACTGTTTTGACATATCTTTTGTATATAGATTTTTGAGTATGTTCAAGTTTTCTCACATTCCAGTTGGTGTTTTTGTTCATGGTATATGTGGCTTGAAGACAGGGCCGGATGTGTCAGGCCGACGGCTGTCCGTGGAGACAAAGGTAGACCAAGCGGCACCGCTGAGGCAACCAGGCACGACCATTGGAATTTACCAGGGACGCACGGCGATGAGAAAGAACACTCTCCCCCCCAAAAAAGAAAATGTTCTTCCAATAACCTGGCTTTCAAACAGAAAACAGAACTGCTACAGTCAAGAACTGCGTCATCCATGCGTCATGAATCTGCCTGGCCTGCTGAGCCTGTGCAGCTTCCAAGATCTGTTGGCGCCAGGCAGGTAGCCCTCGGTCGCAGTCGCCACCAAGGGCCATTGAGAAGACCCAGAAGCCCCTCCAAAACCCCAGGTTTGGAAAGTCTACCTTTTTTATATCTCCACACCCGTTTAAATTCCTATTATAAACTGTTAGACTTGCTTTTGAATTCCTTTTTGCTTCTCGTTCTCGTTGATTCCTCATTAAAAATATGTCGATATCAAACTTTAGCATATTTTAGCTATTTTGATGTTTGACTCTGATTGATTTCCTTTTCAAATTCCTTTGGATTCTTGATCCCCTTTTCAATACCTTGATTTCCCTCTTCAGTTCCTTTGACTTCACATGAGATCCTCTTGATTCTTGGTGATGTCCTCTTAAACACCTGTGGTGGTAATGTCTGCAGAGGACAGCAGCAGGAGAGAAGGACTCAAGGTTCGCCAGCGCAGCGAGAGGACAGCAGGAGACAAGAGAAGGAAGCACGACAGCAGCAGGACACCAATAGGACAAGAGGAGGACCAGGGTTTGCGAGCGCGGCCAGCAGGAGAACTGGAGGAAAGAAGAGAACAACACCCGGACACAGGGTTTTGGGGCCAGCGTCTATTTTCCTAAGAGAGAACCCCAGCAAGAGGACAAGAGGATAAGGTCTGGAGATCGGCTGGCAGCCGTGGCCAAGCTGGTGTCAACAAAAGGACGACAGGAGGGCAAGTGGAGGACAAGAACGTGTCAAGAGGAAGACAAAAGGATAACAGGAGGACAAGAAGAGGACAAGAGGAGGACAATGGGGTGACAAGAAGGAAGAAGACAAGAGGAGGAAAAGAGAGAAAAAAGAGGACAACAGGAGGACAGGGTCTGGGCTGGCAGCCGCAGCAAAGCTGTACAGAAGAAGGATAAGAAAAGGACAACAGGAGGACAACACCCGGACACTGCGTTCACCAGCTGCATCGTCGTGGTTCAACCAGTCCGACTTGTACCAGTAGGCCACCAGCACGGGCCCCGCGGCCAACTCAGAATGCCCGTTGAGATGCTTCAGGTTCTTGAATTTGTCGTCAGAGTCAGGTCACATGTCACTGTTGACCTTGAAAGTGGGAAGAATGTGGCCCAAGTTCCCTGGCTTCAGCAAGACCGACTCAATTCGGCGAGTTTGCCAAACGCCAAGCGCTCTTTCCGCATCAGACTTGTCAAGGGTGCCTGTCAATCATGATGCATAGGGAGGGCGACTTCGCACTTGGCCAAGTCCGCACAAGGCAAGCATGGGTGATGATGCGGATTGATTTGACGGATGCTTCGATAAGCGATATCACGTAACGATTGGACAGGAATCTGCAAAGGAAAGAGTATTAAGTGACAGTCACCTGACGATTCGGGCCTGCATGTGTTCTTGAGAAGTTCTGCTGTCTGCACTTCCGTCGGCTCGTCATCCAGTTGTAATTTGGTGCTGTTGGCCTTGCTCATGGTTTGGCCGCTGTCCAGCAGGCAGACTGCCTGTGGAAAAGTTGCTGTGAGGGACAGAAAGGCGCCCACTTCCAGCTCGCTGGTCTCGTCGATGAACAGCACCCCTGGGTTCTTGGCTTTGAAGAACTTAATGCAGCTCAGTCCCTTGTCTGCTGCCAGGAGCCGCAGCAGAAATCCATGCGTGCGCAAGCAAGATCGGAATTGCGTCATTTCGACTTCCCGCTGATAATAAA